TAACAAGAGAGTATACTATAAGTGGTTTTAGTAGGATTTACATTTCAAATAGAGGTCCAACTTCCAACCTAGCCGCAAAGCTGAAGGCAACAATAGGGTATCTTGAAAAAATATCATCCTTTTACTGATATCAAATTTGAATTGTTTTTTATTTAAGTATTAATTAGAAACCTCTGAGTGGATAACCATAAATGGAGTCGAAGTTTATCATAAAACATGGAAGCCAGATACAGACGATATAAAGGCATATGTAATCTTTCTCCACGCTTTTGCAGGTCATATTGGTCTATTTGAATATGTATTTTCCAAGTTTAAAGAGAAAGGGATTGAAGTCAATGCATTCGACCGACGCGGACATGGCCGGACATGCCAAAAATATAATAACCCTGGCGTTACTGGGGGTTGGGAAGTAGCAATTAAAGATATATCAGATTTTATTTTAAAGATGCAGGAAAGAAACACTAGATCAGCTCCATGTTTTTTAATGGGACAGAGTGTGGTGAGTTGAGATTTCTTTATCTTTTTACAGTAATGACTATTTGTGTAACAAAAAATCAAATTTGTTATAGGGCGGAGCACTTGCTCTCTATTACGCAGCCGTGGGTAGTCGTATAAAATAAATTTCTGGATGTATTGCACTTTCACCCATACTAAAATTAGGAAAGAAAAATAGGAGACCAAAATTCCTTATTTGGTTGGGTAAATTTATGAACAACTTCGTGCCTGATCTATTATTAGAGCATAAGTTTGATGTCAACGAAATTTGCATGAATCCCAATTTTATTGAGGAATATAAAGCAGATCATCTTGTACATAAAACAATTGCACTTAATGAAGGTAAATACTAATTGTAATACGAATAGCATAAAAGGATATCAAATAATCTATTAATCAGTAAATGACTTGCTTTATTATAGCCATGGACATTGTAACTAATGGGAAAATGATTTTAAAAGAACACTATAAAAATATAAAATGTCCTATTTTGTTGATGTATGGAAAACATGATATAATAACAGACACTCAAGCTATCAAGGATTTTGAGGAAAGTATTCGAAATCCCAGAACCGAAGAGTCAAATAGTGCGAACCAGAGTCGCCACATAAAGTTCACATGCAATTTCGCTAGATGGTTAAAAAAAAATAATAATAATAATAGTGTGGACCAAGCTGAAATAGCAAATAACGCAAGCCAAGATGAAACAGCAAACAATACAGACCGAGCTGAAACAGCAAATAATACAGACCGGGCTGAAACAGCAAGTAATGCAAACCAAGCCGAAAAAATTAAAATAAGGGGATGGGATATGAAACATGCCTGTATGTTTTTATTATTTATGTTATTGATGATTTCGTTACATCTTAGTTCACAGATAGTTTATTTCACCGACAGCTCAAAGGTTAGTGCAATTTATATAAAAAACTTGTCGGTGAATTAATTGTCGGTGAACTAAGCTGTCGGTGAAATGATACGTATCCGATGATTTTTATGTGAAGTACTAATCATTTCTATGCAATTTCTAAATTTTTATAGTACATAAAGAAGAAAAAAGAGATGATGTTATTAATGAATGTATAAATTGGATTGAAGGTCAAAGCAGATTAATAATGAAACCAGATTAAATGATATTTGTATAGCGTAAAATAGACAAACCACCGAAAATACAAAATTTTGGGGTGCATTTTTTTTAGCTTTTTTTTTTAGTAGAATTTATATTAAACAAGTGGGTTTTAGGAGGTTAAATAGAAACCTCAAAGTTTATTTTAATCCGATTTATTGTGATCCGCGACATAGATTGATTATGCATGGCGATAGCGG